TCTAGATGATCAATAAGTAACAGAAGTTTATTACTTATTGTAGTAACTCAGTAATTAATAGCAGTTATTAAATAATTCATAGTGGTTGCTAAATAAATTAATAGTACTTACTGGATAATACAAAGTAGTTACTGCTTAATTAATACTAGTAATTCAATAAATGATAAATAGCTACTGAATCATTTATAGGAGGCACAGAATAATCAAAAAGTAGCAACTGCAAAATTTATACTGGTTACTTAACAATTCATATTGGTTACTGAATAATTTATAATAGTTACTGAATATTTTATACTGCTACTAAATAATTCATAATGGTTACTGAGTGATTGATAGTGCTTAATAAATGAAGAGTAGTTACTGAATAAAGTTTTTGTGGTTATTAAATATTAAATACTAATTATTCAATAAATAAAAAGTAGTTACTGTATAGTTTATAGTAGGCACAAAATAACTAAAAAGTAGTAGTTATTACAGTCATACTAGTTACTGAATAATTTATACTGGTTACTGACTAATTCATTGTAGTTACTGAATAATTCATACTGGTTAATAAATGAAGAGTAGTTGCTGAATAATTCATAGTAGTTGCTGAATAATTCATACTGGTTAAAAATTGAGGAGTAGTTGCTGAATAATTCATAATAGTTACTGATTAATTCATACTGGTTAATAAATGAAGAGTAGTTGCTGAATAATTCATACTGGTTAAAAATTGAGGAGTAGTTGCTGAATAAGTCATAATAGTTACTGAATAATTCATAGTGGTTAATAATTGAGAAGTAGTTGCTGAATAATTCATACTGGTTAATAAATGAAGAGTAGTTACTGAATAATTCATAATATTTACTGATTAATTCATACTGGTTAATAAATGAAGAGTAGTTACTGAATAATTCATAATATTTACTGATTAATTCATACTGGTTAATAAATGAAGAGCAGTTACTGAATAATTCATACTGGTTAATAAATGAAGAGTAGTTACTGAATAATTCATAATAGTTACTGAATAATTCATACTGGTTAATAAATGAAGAGTAGTTACAGAATAACTTGTAGTAGTTATTAAATAATTAATACTAATTATTCATTAAATGAAAAGTAGCTGCTGAGTAATTCATTCATGCATTGCATTATTTTCACATGAATAAAATATCAGTTATTGCCAAATATTATCAGTTATCGCCAATTATAGTTACTGCCACAAGTAAACTGAAAGGCATGATAGAGTATATTTCTTCCCAGTGGAAATAAAGTACACATTTGAAGGAGCAAATTCAGCGCATCACTTTTTACAGCGTGAATAATCAGTTTTAAGATTAATAACTGGGTTTCAGGGAGATAAATTCCTAAATCTCTAGAGCGTCATTGAATTCCCTTACAACAGAGGCCATGATGCTCATGAAAGACAGAGGCAGAGTTATTTGTTGTGAACGGCTGTTGAAATCCGTTCCATTCACAAGCGCTCGTCCTTGCTGACCGGCGAGAGAGTGAGAGAGAGAAAGAGAGAGAGAGAGAGAGAGAGAGAGAGACTAATGTGTGGCTGATAAAGGGGATCCTGTCTGGAACATGTAAAGTGCTCCTCAGATGATCCCAATCATATCGGGGAGTCTTCAGAGACGCTCTGGCGTGAGAAAGCCGTCGCGCTGTGTTTTCTGGCACGACTTTCTGCTTGTTTTAGATCCAGTGCTTTGAGCTCAGTGCTGTTCTTGCAGACGGACTGAGCTACGAATGTTTACAGCACGTATTAAATAACAATTAAACTGTCCCCAAGGCTGCGGGCCCTCCACGGCCCTCACCGTGACCTTTCACATCAGGCGAACGTTGTCCCCACAGTTGATTAATCATGAGCGGAACAGCACTGCTGCACTCACACACTGCACTTTGCTCATTCAGAGGAAACACTGCTTTCAAACTGGAGATCAGTGGTGTTTTTTTCACACAAGTCCACAAGAATCTCATTTAATGAGAATAAATAAGCAGCTTAAACCAAAAAATCTGTTTATTTCATCTTCGGCTGACACAGTTCAAGACCATAATTGTGTTTATTCTCAGTTTTCAGACTCTCTCAAGCTCACACTGCCATGTTAAGATGTAAAAACAAGGCTTATCGAGGAGAACTATCCCAACCAGCTATGTCCAGGGAAAAAATCAAGATAAGTATCTGTGCGCAAAATTCTTCTCCCCCTAAGCGACTGGATAAGTCCTTAAATCATCAAATTAGCTCGCTTTAAAGGCTCAATTGCACATTAATATTGTAATTGTAACCTAAATAAAAGGGAATTAAGGTCTGCATGCAATCAAAACGCTTGGCCACAGGCTCTGCATCTTGATCAATGAGAGCTGTAATGTGCAGAGGCAGCGAGTCCAGGCTGGTGAGTGTTGACGAAAGGCCGAGGCCTGAACACAGCAAACGTGAGCGAGGTACAGGCCCGTCAGCTGCACTACAGGGTTGGGAAACATGAGCTTTTGTGCTGTCCACAGATTGTGAGGATACGCAGGGTTAGAGCTCAGAACCGACTGCCAGCTATTTTGAAATCGGCTCTGGTCCAGACAGAGGAAACCAACATGCTGGGATGCGTAATGTGAAATGTTTTCCTTTTGTCTTTTAACTGTAGTGAGATTTAAATCTCAGGCTTTTTTCAGTGTAAAACTACAATCATCACATTGCAGAAGCCAGTGCTGAATCAACACCTGCAGTGCTGAATTAATATCCGCAGTGTTCATCTGTGTCCAGCTGGACTGTGTCCAGTAGGAAGGAAAAAAAATCCCAATACTCTCCAGATTTACCTCAGAGTAGAGACTCGCAACTTGAGACTTAAAAGGGATTTCCACTAAAATTTCTGCATAGTTCTGTGTGTGAGGTGTAAACAGAGTGATTCAGAGTGGTTTGGTGTGAAATGGTTCAGATGATAGGAACCAGGGGTCGCCATGACTACAACACAAATAGAGACATTTTATTTACTATCCAGAACCACCAGTGAACCTACACGAGTCTTCTGAGTTTATATGGAATGATGATGATGGAAAATAGTGGAAAATCGGAAATAATACGTTTTCTTTGGGGACTAATTTGCCTCACAACATCCTGCGTGTATCCCTCCACCATGAATGGATTCTCAAAACTATCATAAAACAAAGGCCCAATCCCATTTCACCCCTCGTCTCTACCACCTAACCCTTAGCCCTCTGTTTTGTGCATTCACGTCTAGGGGTCGGGTGTCCCAATTCTTGTTGAGATAGAGGGGTAGGGTGAAGTGTTGGGGCTACATGACCCTCCAAACGGAGGTTTTTCAGAGACTCCAAACAGAGAGTTATGAGGAAAAAAGAAAAAACGGCAAGATGGAGAACAAGAGAGCAAAGAAACACACAAATGTGAGAATTTGTTAAAAAATTATGATAACCATCATATTGTCTTAGTTTAATGTCATTTAAATGTATTATGGTTCTTTTCTTTATAAAAAGCATAAAAATCGCCAGTAGTGCTGATGTCTCAGAAGCTAGCTAAATCTCCAGTTCTACCTTAAAAGGTGCTGCTGTTACACCTCAAGTGTCAAAACTGCTGCATCATTTAAGGTGGAATGGGAAAATTTGAACAAGAAGCTGGTGAATATCTCTCTGTCACTGCAGACTGGCAGGGTCGCCTACAGAGCAGCGCTAGTAGCTGTTAATGAAGTGATGCTCTTTTTATTTGAGGGTCCCATTTCAGAGGGAAGATCTCAACCACTACCCTGTAACTCAGTTCCAAGGAGTTAGGTTGACACTCGAAAACAAGGGCTAGGGGTAAAAATAAGAAATAGGACTGGGCCAAAGTCTCAGGCATCAGGCAGTGTATTTATGACCATTTCATTAATAACTTTAAGTGAAGGAGCATAAATCTTCTCTACATGATCGTTTTCGAACCTCTGTTTATGTTTTTGATTTGATATGTGCATCGAATCAAATTTGATTTAATAGTTATAAACTTTACATACAACATCAAACTCTTTAATTAAGAAAAGTTTTAGTGCGCAATTTCTGTTTATTTACTGAATTTAACATATTGGAAAAAATAAAACATAACATGTAGAATCTACTATAATCTTTGCAGAGGCCACATTTTATGCTTTATTTTTTCAATATGTGTTTAATTCAGCAAATAACAGTAATTGTCCATCGAAATGTGCAGAAGTGTGTCTCTGTAGAGCGTTAACTTATTTTCACTTAGAAAATCAACAACACATGTCATTTGACCAGGGGCGCCCAAACTTTTGCAACTGTGAGCCTAAGCAGGCCACGAATTGATAGCGATTTTAAGCCAAGGCCAGAAACTCAGCAACTTCAGGAAGCCGACATTGTGCTTACGTCAGGAATCTGTAAAGAAGCACATTGAGATCTGTTATAAATGTGTCAGTTTTAGTGTTGCATTCTAATCAAATCTGAGCTTCTCTAAACGATCCTTCTGTTGCAAATGTTGAAGAGATTCACCCAAAGCGTCTTTTGAGGCCTTTTTTTCTTCTTTTAATGTGAGAGCTGTGAGGTCAGCAGGTTAGAAACCACAGCAACATTGCGCCATCAGGGCGGAGGTCCACGTCCCAGCTGGGGCGGGTGAAGAGCAGGTGGGAGGCAGCGGAAAACATGAACCCCCCCATTTAAACAAGTTCAAAACGGCTTTCTGCTCTAATGCGCTTAAAACGTGCTCATTAAATGTATGTGCTTGAATTTTTTTTATTCTTTCAAAACATCATCAACTTTTCCTCCAATTAATTGAAGTCATTTCATTAATAAGTGCCACATTAATCATCATGAAAATGACAGCACGACAGAACAAAGGCAGGCAAACGTCACGTTCACAAAGCAAACGAAAGCTCGTGAGATGGCTCGATGAATCAGACACACAAACACGTTTAAATATATTATTTTGTAATCAGGACGGAATATTTACATATCACTGAAATAAATAAACAGTTGGGCTGCAATATTAAACAACACTCTTCTCAGAATGCATAATATAAAAAGCAAAGCTGTTCAACAAAACTATATTTCGAAAGCGTTTTAATATCAACACAAATTATGATAAAAAACTAAAAGGTTTTAATAATATTTTAATAATACAGTTACATTGCTACAGTGGATGAAAACATAATGACCGTTAACTGTCGTGATTGGAAGGCACTTCCTTGGAAAATAAAAACAAGAAACATAAAACAGAACAAAACAAAACAAAACAAAACAAAAAAACCTCCAAAGTCTTCTTCTGTAACTTCAGGACCTGTTGCACACAAAAAGGAAAGAAAAAAAAAGATTATCTTTATAATCGATTTCATTTTCATGCAGTACATCTGACACATTCATTCACAGAAGGACTTTGAATGGGAGTCTGATCTGCATTCAGCGATTAATCATCATCACCACGACACTGTTTAAGCCCAAAACCATCTCCATGGACACGGTTACGGGACCGAGGATGAGAAGTTCAACGTTAAAAGTTCAAAACTAGTTATCTGTCATACATAATGAGGTCGAGATGCTTCGTTGCTAATTCGCCTGTAATTACTGAAGCAACTTTTCGACGGGCAATTGAGCACCTTTTAACAGGTTCTGGGGAAAAGAACGGCAGGAACAAAGGCGTCAGGTGGATCTCCATTCTTCACCACTCCATTTGCCAATCAAGCTGTGTCCTTCCGTTCTTCTTTAAGAGGAGGGACGGGTGCTCATTCGCCCCATCACTGACGCCTCTGATGTCACAACGCAGACTCAAAACATTTCCCGTTTTATCAACGGCAGCTCAGAGGCTATTCTGGGCTTCACCTCATATAGCATATGGAGATACACACACTGAGCAGCTCCACTGACCATATAGGAGCTCTTCGTAGTTCTACAGTTACAGACTGTAGTCCATCTGTTTCTCTGATACTTTGTTACCCTGTTCTTCAGTGGTCAGGACCCCCATGGACCCTCACAGAGCAGGTACTATTTGGATGGTGGATCATTCTCAGCACTGCAGTAACACTGACATGGTGGTGGCGTGTTAGTGTGTGTTGTGCTGGTGCGAGTGGATCAGACACAGAGTTTTTAAACACTGTGTCCACTCACTGTCCACTCTATTAGACACTCCTACCTTGTCAGTCCACCTTGTAGATGTAAAGTCAGAGACGATAGCTCATCTGCTGCTGCACAGTTTGTGTTGGTCATCCTCTAGTTCTTCATCAGTGGTCACAGGACGCTGCCCACAGGACGCTGTTGGCTGGATATTTTTGGTTGGTGGACTATTCTCAGTCCAGCATCGACACTGAGGTGTTTACAAACTCCAGCAGCACTGCTGTGTCTGATCCACTCAGACCAGCACAACACACACCAACACACCACCACCACGTCAGTGTTACTGCAGTGCTGAGAATGATCCACCACCCAAATAGTACCTGCTCTGTGGGGATCCATGGGGGTCCTGACCACTGAAGAACAGGGTAACAAAGTATGCAGAGAAACAGATGGACTACAGTCTGTAACTGTAGAGCTACAAAGTGCTCCTTTATGGTCAGTGGAGCTGATAAAATGGACAGTGAGTGTAGAAACAAGGAGGTGTTCCTAATAAAGTGCTTGGTGTGTGTATATGGCAAATATAACCCATGCTAGGGGTGGGCGATATAACGATATTATCAGGGTAAATTGCATCACGATATATGTTTCTGAGTATATCATGGATATCAAACTGTGTAAAACAGCATCATAAAAAGTGACTGACGTCTTGTTCACACTTGCATTAACATATGTCTTGGGTGAACCAAACATAAGTGGACAATGCTAAGTAGTAGTAGTGGACGATATATCAGTTCATTCAGTACAGCAGTTGGAATACATGTCATAAGTTTTATTAAGGCTAGCTGAATATCCCTCATCTCCCACTGTGTGGTCAGCCGCACTCTTAGGTAATGTTATGCTGCCTCCAAGTCATGTTAGAAATATTGTGTTTATGTATAGAACGCCAATGTCAATAGCTACAAGGGGGATTTTGCAATGAGCCCCAAATTTCCCCGATCTGGAGGCGTAAAAGTCACCGCTGACAGTAAACTGGGCATACTTTAGTTATTCAGCAGCCACACAAGAACTCTGCAGGCTAAGGTGACCACATTTCTGAGATGAAAACTGGGGACATTTCCGGTTCAGCGGTCAATATATCATTAAAATATCCAGTGTTTTTATCTACAGTTCCAGTTTCGTGTATTTTGACCATGATTAACTGTAATAACCTATGCTAGTACTAACTAAGTAACTCTGTAAACCGTATCAGAAAATCAGACAGTAACCTATGTTGAATGAAGCTGGTAAACTATGGAAAAAGACACCCGTAGCTAAATAAGACCTGTGGCTATAGCCCAATAGCCAGACCCTAAACACGCCCCTGGGCAGATGGCTGCTATCAACATATGCCAAATGTCGTATATGGATGGCTAAATAAGTAATGCAGTTTTAAAAAAATGAGGCACTAGTTTTTGATCGCATGGCAGCTACATTTAAGTAGATTGTATGCCTGTACAAATCAGATCACCCAGCAGTATGTCCCGTAACCCCGCCCTTGCATTTAATCCCTGGGTCACCTCATGTCTTGGGAAAACCTTTGTGGTGATCCACTTGACACTTGCTAGCTTCTGGTTGAGTTCTACACAGCGCCATTCTCTAAACTAGCCGAGCAAGTGGTAGAAGTGGTCAGAAATAATCACTTGAACACATTATCACGTCGTACTTATGACCTTCAAAATCATAAGCAGGAACTTGAAGGTAGCATTAGTGCAGTTTGTTACCGAGGGAGTGGACATTACTGAGATATAAGGAGGTACGGCCGGTCTCTGGAGGTTAGCCTTTAGCCTAGCATGCACACTCACCGCTTCTACTGGTCGTAATATTTTGGGAAAAAGTACTATTTCGAGAATAAAGTGGTAATATTTCAGAAAAAGGCATAGAATTACGACATTAAAGTGGCATTAATACCAGGAAAGGTCAATATTGTGGCCAAAGGCTTTGCGAAGTGAAGCAGCGCCTCCTCGTGTTAAATGAGGGGCGGTGAGTTGGTGGAGTTCTACTTTCATATGGATTCACCCATAAAGAAACACTCAGTCTCCCTGTCTCTCCTGCTCATCAGCACCAGCCTGTTATTAGTATAAGAAGCGGCTGAAACGGCGGAGCAGGAAACTGTGTTTATCTAGAATAAAGAGCCAGACGGACTCAGAGGAAACTGTCTGTCTGTGTTGTTGAAGGAGAACCTCAGGCAGGGTCGTCTACATGGCTATCGGGGGCTACATCTCCCCCCATTCAAAGAGGGCATGAAGTTTCACAGACAGTGAGAATGATGATCAAAATGATCCACAGAGAGACAGGAGAGAGTGGAGCTCCGGCGCCAGTACAGCAACCGAGACCCCAACGCGTTATGGCAGCCCACTACAGTTAGCCCCCCTACAGTTAGCCCCCCTACAGTCAGCCCACTTCATCCTCCAACGTACGACTTTATTCTCTAAATATTACGACTTTTTTCTCGAAATATTACAACTTTTTTCTCAAAATGTGTCTTTTTTCTCGCAATATTATGACGTTTTTCTTGAAATATTCCTTTTTTCTCGAAGTCTACTGTTTTTATTTTTATTAACAGTGGCCACATGAACATGAATTAAGCTTTATTTAATTTACTGTATTTTGCAAACACTCTTCACTCTTAACAGGAGAGACAGTGTAATCATGTTTCAGGTAAAACCAAAGGCAGCCAAAAGCACTAACATTACTATCTAGGGGTTTAAACCCCAGTTGCCAGAGCGTTATCAGTGTTATCACTGTTTTATTGGTGAGATTTTTAGTGCTGCAGTGATGCGAGTTACTGATGAGAACCACAGACGGCCAGTACTGCACCAGAGGGGGCGCTCAAGAGCGATAATCTTGTAGAACCCAAGCGACCCACGCGCTCTATTCCTACAGTGAGAGTGAGCCTCATCTTACTGAAACGGACCTTGAAGAACGGCAGAGGAAATAAAGTACAGTTATTATACACACCAACCAAGAGTGCACTTGTGCCCTCTGAGGTAAAAATGGCAGCAGCTCAAGCCCCCCTCCGGGGTCTCTCTGTGCACGTGCCTGCTTGTTCGTTTATAAGTTGCTTTAGCGTCCCATGTGCTCTAAACATTTGTAAAAACCTATAAGTGTACATGAACAAGGACTCACGGTACATATTTGTCTGACAACATGTGCAGCGAGAGGCTGACGTAGTGGATATGTGTGATACTCTTCCTCCAGTCACAATATCCTATCATAAGTGGTCTCTGGAGGCGCATTTGAGACACACGGAAATGCCAGATGTAAACATCTATACGTTTTACTGTCCACTTATGATCAGGTTATTCAAGACATGTTAATACCAGGTAGGAACAGAGACTATAAACTATACCTAGAGCTGGGCGATGTGGCCAAAAATGTTATCATGATAAAAACATTTCATATCGGCCAATATTGATACATATCATGTCCTTAGTTTACTGTTGTTTAAATCAGGGCTGTAACCAGCATGAATCCGCTTCTTTCTTTCACTTTCGTTGCTGAATGCACTAATACTAAAATATGGCTGAGCGCTGTAACAGTGCTGTAGTTGTGAGGAGCAGATGTGATTTAACGCTGCTAAAGCTGGTTAGGATGTTAGTAAAGAGGTGAGCTCACTGTAGGTCAGTACAGCTACGCCACTTATCTCATCACTCACACTCGGTCACAGGCCCTAAATATACCTGAAGGAACAACCTGAAAAACAAAAACAACCCATTAATGGGCTCCTATGGAGCGTTTTGTGCAACATCAGTTTGTAAAAGTGTAAATATTTTTTATGTAGAAGTGCAGTAATTTCCTTAATGGAGATCAGCATATATCAACACAACTGTTATATTTTGAGTGCTTTAAACTCCAGTTATTGGACGCGCCAGCCGGTCAGCACTCAATAGCAGTAAAGCTAACCAATCAGTACTCAGTAGCAGTAATGCTAACCAATCAGCACTCAGTAGCAGTAATGCTAACATATCAGCACTCAGTAGTAGTAATGCTAACATATCAGCACTCAGTAGCAGTAATGCTAACATATCAGCACTCAGTAGTAGTAATGCTAACCAATCAGCACTCACTAGCAGTAATGCTAACATATCAGCACTCAGTAGCAGTAATGCTAACATATCAGCACTCAATAGTAGTAATGCTAACCAATCAGCACTCAGTAGCAGTAATGCTAACCAGTCAGTACTCAGCAGC